TGGGCTGCCTACGTTCGCCTCGGCAAGCACGGCCCAGCTGCTGCTGCATATCAGCGCGAACAGAAGCAGCAGCGCCGCAGAGGAAAAACGATGCCTCAACATTTTTGGGCGGTCGATGCTCACTCCCTTCCCTCCTTCTGCCGGATCCGCTCAGACCGCGATGGTTGTGTGGGCGCTTGAACTTGACGGCAGCAACACTCGAGAGTATATATATGCGTGTGTGGTCGGTGTGTGTGTGTGTTGCTGGTGGTGGCTACAGAACCCTCAAAGCGCACAATAGCGAATAGTTTGTCTTGTATTTCCTTCCGAGTGTGTTGGGGAGAGAAAGTTGTGAGAAAAAAGCAAACAAAACAAATAAAGACACCGACAACCAAAAAAACGACACCGCCCTCGCCCACAGTTGGGCACACCGAAAAGAACAGTGACAATCCAAAAAACGAAGGCCGCATTAGCGAACGCGTGGGCCGCACGATCTCGCACTCGCCACCGCCCATAAAAGACGGCAGCTGCAAAGAAGGCAGCGGTGGCAACTGTTGTGCGCGGCCCGAAGAAACACCCACACGCACCCGCACGGAGAGTCCGCAGTGTGGGACGTCTCCCGCATAAATCAAACAACAAAACAAATTCATAAGCACCTCGCTTACCGTCTCCCCCGTCCAGCCCCTTCAAACCCCGCCAGCGGCAACACGCAGTGCGCATGCCGGCGGGACCTCCCATCACGCCCCCCCACAAAATCCCCAACGCCGCCACTTCCCTCAGCGCACCGCAGCCGGAGTGGGGCGCAACGTTTAAAAAAGCGTCAAAAAACCCTGCGGAATAAGAGCGACAGCCCCCTTTCCTGCTGCTTCGTTCGGCTCACAAGCGAGGGCGACGCCAGCGCAGCCGTAGTCTCAGACTGCCTGGTCAGTGCATGCAGCCCGAACAAGACGGAACAGGCGCATGCGCCCAGGACGGCAACCCAACAAAAAGAGAGACGCCAACGGCGTTTGCTCGAGGCCCCCAGCGGTGCATGCGGCACCCCCCATTAGAGCACAGACGAACCAAAAACGATGGCACCCAAAAAACAAAAAAGGAAAAACACCACGCCAAGACGCAAAAACAATCACAATAATTCGGTTTGTCCCCGCCTTCTGGGCTGTGGTGGCCGCCGCATTTGCTCTCCTGCCGGTGAGCCCACTCAGCATGCAAAACTTACCCTCTCGCCCAAACTCTCTGCAGCAACAAACTGGGAACAGCGAGGAGATATCACCAATGGAATACTGCCGGCGTACACCCACAAGGCGCCATCATTCCCCACGCAATTTTACTCGCAACCACAACACAACCACAACAAAAAAAAGTGCTGCTGTGGTGGCGCTGGCCATAATAATCATTTGGCGCACGGCAGAGCGAGTCCCTAAGTACGCCTCCTACCCACACACAAACACACTTAGCAATATATAATACTCCCCAAAATATTTCACCAGTAAAGTCAAGCTGCTTGTTCCCCTCCTCCTTTTCCTTCTCCCTCTGGTTGCCGCCCACGTTGGGTTTGTCGTTCACTTCTGAAATTTCAGCTGATACCGCTACCTCGCGCTGACGCACCTGCTGATTTCAAAATGCCGCAATGGCCTGAGGGTCCTCACGCTCATTGCTGCCCGTTGCATTTGTGTGCGCGACGACAACACATTCCTGCCACGCGTTTATTGCCGTACTGTCCTCATGATGCACGTAAATAATCCCCCACGGCAAGCCTTCCGCAAAAGTTTCCCAGTCATTAAAATAACTCCGTGGAAGATCGTTGAACCGCCTCACCGTGCTGGCTTGGGTGCCATGCTCAGCCCTCGTCGTCTCACCTGCACCGCAACCATCGTCCTCCGCGGTGCGCCAACGAAGAAAAAACCGTCCACAAGCGGGAAAGTTCTGCTCTCCGGTACGTATAGCACCTCGTATTGTGCATCCAACCTCGGAGGAGTGTGTTCCAGAGTTATTAATGCAACGGGTATGCTTGGATGCTTTTCGGGGTTCGATTGCAGCACACATCTCTGTCGCCGACGACGTCCTGGTGGAGGCAACTCCTTGAGGCACAGCATTATATTTTCCACAAAGTCTCTACGCAGGAATGCGTGCAGAGTATGCCGCCCCAAAAGTTCCGGCAATAACACTTCGCAGTGCTTACATAGTCGAAAACAAAGTCATTCTCCTCATCCACCTCGAGCAACCTTCCAATTAATTTGTTTCCAATGGAAAAACAGGCCGGCAGGTTAACAAACTCCTCAACATCGCCTTGCGTTATTGATCGGACAACTTTCACAAGTTTGTGAGAAGCGTCATTCGAGGGCCACATTTCCCTACCTCCAATCATCCCATAATGTACAGCATTTGAACCGTCGATATCTGCCAAGATGTTCTTGATTTCCTCCACACGGTCCTTATACTCATTGAATTGAAAGATGCATCGTGGAATCGGTCCGACGTCATCCGTGCGCATGTGCATCCTTCTCCAATACTCCGCCTGCTCCTCTTCAGTCGTATTGCACGTCCTCCACGCACACATCGCCTTCACGTCGTTTTCATCGGGGCAATTCATGATAATTTTAATAGCACCCGCCTGCTTCGCCCATTGTTTGAAGTTATCTTCGTGCGGGGACGACAACGTAATCATGCCCCACTCAGGGGAGGGCACAAAATCATTCGATGGCTCTTGAAAATGTCTTGCCATATCGATGATGATATACCCCTTCATTCCACTCCCAGCCAAATTTACCATAGCCCCTCTAATATTACTCTCACCCTCGTATATTGTCACCGTTTGTGTGCTCTTGTCAAACAAGTATGCGAAATCCCTTCCAAAGCAGTACACAACCACATGGAGCTTCGTGGCGTCGTAGTGCAGCAGCTGATAAAGGAGGTAGGAGCCAGCCGCCATTGACTTCCCTATCCCGGGGGTTCCAATCAAAAGATGACGTCCCATTTTAGGTGCGTTTAGACGTGAGGGGGGAAACACTCCTTTTAGATCACCCTCGACAATCTTCTACACCCGATGCACCTCAATGTTAATGTAGCAGTCAGCAATACGTACTGAATGGTTCAGCGAGTACGATCATCGCTGTTCAGAGGAAAGGATCATGAGTCGTGGGCGTGGTGGACGGAATTGCTCATCACCACCCACTGAGAGAAAAGTACGCACAGTCTGCGTGTACTCCCATAACTCTTGTGGCCGTTGACCCTCTCTCACCACCATGTATTCATCTTCGCCCTCAGGAAACCCCATGACGTGACTCCACGTTGCGTTAAACACGGACTCGTAGAATCCCTCCGGTAATGGTTGTCTGGGAGGTTTTTCGTTTTCCCACCTTTCTTTCTCTGCATCCTCCGCCTGCTGAAGAGCTGCATCGAGTCTTCC